AGATGTAATGTTACATTTGCACCGCTCTGCACCACCTCATGCGCCCGCCTATCTCTCACTGTCATCGGCCCAACTGACATTCTCCAGTCAGACGTGGTGAGTTGAGTTGAGATGTGATGTTACATTTGCACCGCTCTGCACCACCTCATGCGCCCGCCTACCCCTCACTGTCATCGGCCCAACTGACATTCTCCACTCAGACGTGGTGAGCTGGGGGTATCATGGAATGTACCATCTGCACCGCCCTGCACCACTTTGTACGAGTCTTGCACAGCACAGCAGGCTCCATCCGCTGTGATTTCTGCACCACCTCTTACGCTCGCGGCTCACCTACCTCAGCAGGCTGCACCATCAGCAGGCTCACCTACCTCTTATTCTCACCTACCCCTCTCTGGCATCGGCCCCAACGGACACTCTCCAGTCAGACATGTTGCTCTGGGGTGAGGGCGTATGCTGAGTGTGTTGTGCTGTGTGTCTCATGTACTCGGTCAACCCTCACAGTCATCGGCCCAAGTTACATTCTCCAGTCAGACGTGGTGAGCTGGGGGTGGTGTGTTGAGGTGCATTTTCGTGAAGCTGTTGTGCGACAAAACACACCCCATCCGCTCTGCTGTGGCATCTGTATTTGCACCACTTCTTGTGCCCGCCTCCCCTCACTGTCATCGGCCAAACTTACATTCTCCAGTCAGACGACGTGGTGAGCTGAACTGGGGGTCCAGGGGTACCTGTGTGTTGACGTCTGCACTGCACCACCACATGCGCTCGCCTTCCGCTCACTCCTTCTAAAGGCCCTGTGCCTGCACCTGCTGCACCTATGCTCCCCACCTTCCCACTCTCCCCATTTCCTCTCCCCCACCCCCCACACGTCCCCCCCTCAGCCCCTTCTGAAGGCCCTGCGCATTCACCTGCTGCACCTCTGCTCCCCACCGCCTTCTCTCACCTCTCCTGTAGCAGCAGCTGTAGCAGCACCGGCAGCACCGGTAGGAGCGGTGCCTGTAGCAGCAGCACCATCAACAGCACCATCTGTATCAGCACCAGCAGCAGCTGTAGCACCATCTGCAGCAGCTGTAGAAGCTCCGGCAACAGCCGCAGCGGTGCCTGTAGCAGCACCTGTGACAGTGCCTGCACCAGCGGCTGTAACATCAGCTTTAGCAAAGATGCCTGTGGCTCCGCTGTTATCGGTGGTTGTAGCCGAGGAGTCAGCAGCACCACTGGCAGCTCCACCTTTAACGACTGTAGCAGGGGTGCCTCTGGCAACGGCTGGAGCGGCGGCTGTAGTTCTTCCTTTAACAGACAGTCCGATGAATGGGCAGATGAACGGGCAGATGAACGGGCAGATGAACGGGCAGATGAACGGGCAGATGCACGGGCAGATGCACGGGCAGATGCATGGGCATATCAAGTACGGGAGCAGCAATGTCAGTGGAAACAACAGCAGAAACACCAGCAGCAGCAGCAACGTTTGCCATATGAGCAGCATTTGTGTTAAAACAGTCCCAGATGAACCTTTTCACGTCCGCCCCTCCTTGCGTTCCGCTGTTCTCCAAAGCACCACACAACCCTTTCCTACCTCACGTGGCAGTGAGGGGGAGAGGGGGAATCCACGTGGCGGGCTGACGCAGTGCCAGGTGTCGATGCCAGCGTGGATGTATCATGTGAGTAGGCCACGTGTGCATGCTCTAAGCTCGTCCTTTCTATTGTTTCCCGCAGGTGGATGGAAAAACACACAACTGTTTTTCTGCATGGGTGTATCATGTGAGTATGGCATGTGTGCATGCTCTAAGCCCGTTCTTGCTAGTGTTACCTGCAGGTGAAGAAAAAGACACACAACACAACTCCATGCCTCAATATTTCCCTCCCTCCCTTCCTTTAACGGATCAGTCGCCAGCTCACACTCACGCCAACGCTTCCCTCCCCACACCCCCTTAACTCACATCCCCTTAACCTCCATCTGCCTCTTCCCTCCCATCCCACCCCTGCTCACAACAGATCAGTCGCCAGCTCGCACTCACGCCAACGCTCCCCTCTGTATGGAAATCACTTTTGAGAATTCTTTTGAGTCGACTCAAAAGTCACTTCTTTTGAGTCGACTCAAAAAACTCCCCTCTGTATGGAAATCACTTTTGAGAATTCTCAAAAGTGATTTCCATTCAGTCGCCAGCTCGCACTCACACCAACGCTCCCCTCGCCCTCCCATCGCCTGCTGAGGCTGGGCGTTGTGGGGGTGGATGGGTTCCCCCCTGGTGCATGCTGCATCGATAGAGAGAATAGATAAGCAGGCCAACACCAACCCCTAAACCTCCAACTCGTATCTCCCCTCCCGAACCCCCCTATTGCAGATTATTCGCCAGCTCGCATTGACCCCCAGGCTCCCCTCCCCCTCGCACCGCCTGCTGAGGCTGGGCATTGTGGGGGTGGATGTTATCCTTTCTGTTGCGTGCTGCTTCTTCAATAGCGGCAAGGAAAGGCATGATCACTGCCCAGCCAGCCTAACCTCACTCTCCGCTCCTGCCTCCCACCTCTCCACAACAGATCATTCGGCAGCTCGCATTGACCCCCACGCTCCCCTCCCCCTCGCACCGCCTGCTGAGGCTGGGCACCATGGGAGCGGATGCCACTTTTGAGAATTCTCAAAAGTCCTTTCTGGTGCATGCTGCTTCTTCAATAGCGGCAAGGGACGGCATGATCACTGCCCCGCCAGCCTAACCTCACTCTCCGCTCCTGCCTCCCACCTCTCCACAACAGATCATTCGGCAGCTCGCACTCACACCCACGCTCCCCTCCCCCTACTGTTGCCTGCTGAGGCTTGGCACCGTGGGGGTGGATGGGTTCCCACCTGGTGCATGCTGCTTCAATCGCAGGAAAGGATTTACTTCCCCCGGCTTAACCTCACTCTCCACTCCTCCCACCAATTACAACAGATCATTCGGCAGCTCGCACTCACACCCACGCTCCCCTCCCCCTCGCACCGCCTGTTGAGGCTGGGCATCGTGGGAGTCGATGGGTTCCTTGTGCATGCTGCTTCGATCGCGGGATTAGAACCAACTACAGCAGCAGCACTGACAGCGGCTGTAGATGTTGCAGGGACGGCGGCACTTGCTACAGAAGCAGCGGCAACTGGGGTAGTAGCGACAGCAGCAGCACCGGCAGCGGCTGTAGGAGTGACACCCGCTACAGCAGCAGCACTGACAGCGGCTGTAGATGTTGCTGGAACGGCGGCACTTGCTACAGAAGCAGCGGCAACTGGGGTTGCCACGACAGCAGCAGCACCAGCAGCGGCTGTAGGAGTGAAACCTGCTACAGCAGCACCTGTGGCGTTGGATGTAGCAGGAACTGCTACAGCAACACCAGCAGTGGACGTAGCAGCAATAGAACCAGCTACAGCTGCAGCAACGGCGTTGCTATCTGTAGCAGAAACGGCACCTGCTGCAGCAGCAGCAACAGTGGTAGAAGTGACAGCAGTAGCAGCAGTGGTCGTAGCAGCAATAGAACCCGCTACAGCAGCAGCAACGGCGGCGCTAGCTGTAGCAGAAACGGCACCTGCTGCAGCAGCAGCAACAGTGGTAGAAGTGACAGCAGTAGCAGCGGTAGCTGTAGAAGAAGGGCCAGATGCTACTGTAGCAGCACCGGCAGCGGGAATTGCAGATGCTACTGTAGCAGCACCGGCAGCGGGAATTGCAGATGCTACTGTAGCAGCACCGGCAGCTGGAATTGCAGATGCTACTGTAGCAGCACCGGCAGCGGTAGTGGAAATGGCAGATGCAGCAACAGCGGTTGTAGCAACAACAGCACCGACAGAAGCTGCATTAGGAGTGGAAGAAGCTGCAACTGCAGCAGCAACTGTGGTACCAGCAGCACCGGCAGCGGTAGGTGCAGCAGGAAAGGCAGATGCTGCAGAAGCAGCAGCAACAGCAGTAGTAGCAACAGCAGCACCGACAGAAGCTGCATTAGGAATGGAAGAAGCTGCAACTGCAGCAGCAACTGCAGCAGCAACTGTGGCAGCAGCAGCACCGGCAGCGGTAGGTGCAGCAGGAAAGGCAGATGCTGCAGATGCAGCAACAGCGGTTGTAGCAACAGCAGCACCGACAGAAGCTGCATTAGGAGTGGAAGGAGCTGCAACTGCAGCAGCAACTGTAGTAGCAGCAGCTGTGGTAGCAGAAGCACCGGCAGCGGTAGGTGCAGCAGGAAAGGCAGATGCTGCAGAAGCAGCAGCGACAGCAGTAGTAGCAACAGCAGCACCGGCAGAAGTTGCAGCGGGAATGGAAGAAGGTGCAACTGCAGTAGCAACTGTGGTGCCAGCAGCAGGAGCTGTAGCAGAATCAGCAGAAACACCAGCAGCAGCTCTAGCAGAAACATTAGCAGAAAAACCAGTAGAAACACCAGCAGCAGCACCAGCAAAAACACTAGCAGCAGCATCAGCAGAAAAAACACCAGCAGCACCACCTGAAGCACCAACAACAGCAGCACCAGATGCTCCAGCAGCAGCAGCACCAGAAGCACCAGCAGAAACACCAGCAGCAGCACCAGCAGTAAAACCAGCAGCAGCAGCACCAACAAAAACACTAGCTGCAGCACCAGCAGAAAAAACATCAGCAGTTCCACCAGAAGCACCAATAGCAGCAGAAGCATCAGCAGAAACACCAGCACCAGCAGCATCAGCAGCAGCACCAGCAGAAACACCAGCCGCAGCACCAGTAGCAGAGCCACCAGCAAAAACACCACCAGCAGCAACAGCAGTAGCACCAGCAGTTATGACAGTACAGAGTGCAGGTCTGATCTTAGCAAATGCGACCTTAGCAGGTGTGACAGTAGGGAGTGCAGGAACGGAGGAGCTACAGTGGTGGCTGCGCTCTGTGCCTGCCACTCGCAGTGAGAGACTAGCTTTGGAGCAAATGGGGGGCGGCCATGAAATGAAAGTCTCTGAGAAGAAAGAGAATGAGGGGCAAGAGGGCGAGTTAGTGCTTCATGAGAAGGGGGAGAGTAGGAGGGCAGAGCAGGAGATGATGTTTGGTGAAAGGGAGGGGGATGAGTGGGCACGTGACAAGGTGAAGGATAGTGAGAAGAAGGTGAATGAGCGGGCGGAGGGCGAGGTGATGTTCAGTGGGAAGAAGGAGAGTAGGAGGGCAGAGCAGGACGTGATGCTTGAGGAAAGGGAGAAGAAGAGGCTGAGGGAATCGAAGGAGGTTGAGGGGAGAGGGGAACTGGGATTGCAGGGAGGGGAGGCGGCTGGTTGTGAGGAAGTTGAAAAGGCTGGTTCAGGGTTTCAGGGAGAGGTGAAAGAGGTTCAAACGAAGCCTTTTTCAGACCCTAGACAGATGATACTGTCTCTAAAACCTAGAGACATGATGGTTTCCCTTGGTATGATGGACCCACACCGTCTGGTTGAGCTGGTGAAGAAGCATGCCCGTGCTGCGGTGAAACCAGTGCCACGGTGTGTGAGACGACGACGGAGAGTTGTGAAGATAGGAGAGGGAGACGCGGAGGGAGGTGTATGGCAAGACCAGTAGAATGGCAGGTGGTAGGCACTTGAGGGAGGAAGCAGGCTTGAATTAATATGGTATCGTTGTCGTGCCGAGTTTCTTGACGCTCTCGGTTTTGAGAAATCTCTACTTGCAAGGGCTTCCAAATACGGTATCATTGGGCTTATATTTTTTCATCTGCTACTTTTTGCCACTGCCACATAAATCACCACAGACATCTACCGGTAACTGCAAATTGCTCTTTTCATATGTTCTCTTGTGCATTCCGTGCTCTGCATAAGAAGGGCTATGAGATGCAGGGACAAGGTGGGCTTTGTTACAGGCGTTTTTCGCGACACTCGCTCAGCTTCAGGTGGAATTTTCGGGCCGTTACACACCAGTCCACGTGATCGCGATCAGGTTGTCATTGTAGCGAGGGAGCACACGTGGCTCCAGTGGGATGGGCTGGGCCTCCTGAAGTGACAGTGAGAATGTCGAAACCGAACCGCGACATCCTTTGTGGGAAGCTCGAAAAGGCGAGTTTGGTGGTAACCATGATCCACCTGTGTTGGGTGCGCAGCGTTCGGGAAAACCATTTTGGAGGGCTCCTGGTTGGTTGCACAAGCCGAAAGTGGACGTCTGTCGTCAAAGTGACGTTTGGCGAAGATTTGCGAGATTTGCAGGCGTTCTTCTTGCTCATCTCGGTTTGGTGGGTCCAGGCTGTGAGCCTCTTGCGCGGCTGCCACGTAAGCCCCGCCATCGAGGCTGCCACCATCTCAACCAACCAGCTTTTCCCGTCACCCCGCGTCGCACTCGATTCGTGCACGCGAGTGGCGCAAGCTGCAAACCACTTGCGCATCCTGCGCGCAGCGGCCCAACCATGGCATGACATGACATCCGCTTCTCGAACGGAGCACCTGACCTGACCTGATGTGAAACGTACGCGAGGCAGCCCAACAGGAAGGGCATATGTGAGTGAAACGGATCTTTTTGACTTGATCCATTTTGCGCGGAGAGCACCATCCATCCGCTGGCCCCTGCGATTACGCCGTTCCGAATGAGCGCATTCAGTTCAGTGTGGCAAGGATTGAATGTGTAGCATGCATCCCGCCCGCCCCGAACTGCGTGCGCCGGTTCGGTTCCCCCAACCTTGGGACCTGCCCTAGATTACCCCCGTTTCACCTAGTGTTCATTACCGTTCTGGAAGCGCATTACATCTAGGATTACCTAGTATAAACCATGTGAATCGAGAGTAATCATCCTAGATGCAACACTGAACCAGGAGTACATAACCCGAAAACTCAACACCAGCCATCTTCAACATCAACCGACCAATCTCCAAGGTAATTCTCACCTACCTCAGACAGGGTCTAGGGACTTCAGTAGAATAAAAACAGCGTTCTCGACCAATGCTGAGGAATAACCCGCACCAACGACCCCCACCTTACGCCTGTATTCAGTAACCATCTCCCTCGATCTCTTTCCGCAAGCTCGAATCAGGCCCTCTTTATCCGCAGCGTCGCTTCTCCTTAGGTGACGGACAGAAGCCCACTTGAGTCCGCATTGTTCGCCAAGCTTCTTCCTATCTAGCAGTCGGGACGGGATACCTTTGCTAACTCTGTCGCTGACAAACGTGCTCCATTGCCAGGAGGTGACTTTTAATTTATTTAGAAATATACTTGCTTCAAGTTGGGTTTCCGCCTTGATTTCAGGTTCGCATTTTGCCTTGATCCGAAATTGACGAATAAACAAACAGAGTAAAACAAGCATTTTCACAAGTAATCCGCCATTGAAAGTCGATGAAGTGTGTCTCACGGCAATCCCTATATCCCCGCCGTTACCTCTTTCAGGTGCTTCAACAAGGCAACACCCTTCTTCACGGAACACCCTTCGTCACGGCCATTTCCAGCAGCAGCCTGCTCATCCAACAAACCCTTCGAAGGACACCGTCGGATCCCTTTTTTTTTTTCCCACGCCGTCGGTTCCGCCTACATGGAGAGAGCGCATATCAGCAGATGGAGCGCGCACTCGTAATTAAATACCAGCTAAATTGCTCAGAGTCGCGTCGCGCTGCCTACGATCCATCGCCGTGGCTTTGATCGGCAGATCAGCGTTCCCCCTCAGGTCGTTAGGCTCCTAAATTAGAACCCGCACCGCGCCGATACGGTCGACATTTGATAAGAGAACGGACTAAATTTGGTTGCGAACGATCAAGACTAAATTAGGTCACCATGCCGAGCGCCGCGGCGCCGTATCGGCGAATCGACGAGAAGGAAGATCCCGAAGCGCAGGTAGACTCAGAAGAGAGCAGTAAGGAGGAAGAACGACCGTTAAATAGCACCGGCGGCGGCGGCGGAGGTGGAGTTCCAAATTCGCCGAGCTCCCCGTATAAACTCTCCTCCGCCTTACCCATCCCCACTTTAGGCCTCCCCGCTAGTAGCTCATGGCCGCAACTGTCCCCTGGCGCCACCACCGCTCTGATCGTAATCTCCTGGTACTGTAGCAACATCGGCGTGTTGCTTCTAAACAAGTTTCTTCTATCGAGTTACGGGTTCCGTTACCCGGTGTTTCTGACGCTCTGTCACATGTGCGCGTGCTGCACGATGAGTTACATCGCTATAGACCGCTTCGAGGTTGTCCCGATGCAGTTCATCTCGTCGCCACGTCAGATGCTCAAGATCGCCATGCTGTCCGCGATTTTCTGCTTCTCCGTCGTCTGCGGGAACATGTCGCTAAGATACATCCCCGTCTCCTTCAACCAGGTAAGCTGCAAGTTTGAGGCGCCTCAGTAGCAAGGTAAGCCGCGTCTTCTCTGTTGTCTGCGGGAACATGTCATTGAGATACACCCCCGTCTCGTTCAACCAGGTGAGCCGCCGTTTCAGCCAGGTGAGCGGCGGTTTTGAGGCGCCTCAGTAGTAAGGTAAGCCGCGGTAACCGTTCCATCCAACCGGGTGGCACGTGCTCTCCGTTGTCTGCGGCAACATGTCGCTGAGATTCATCCCCGTCTCGTTCAACCAGGTAAGCCGCGGAAACATGTCCATCCAATTGGGTTAGACGTGGAGTCCTTTTGCCATGGTTACGTAGGATCAAGATAGCCAGTTCAACCAAGTGAACAGTTACAACCAGGTGAACACTTACAACAGTTGGGCAGTTACAACCAGGTGAACAGTTACAACCAGTTGAGTAGTTACACCAGATGAGCGTGTTTCAACTAGTGGACGGCGGTATGTTCTTAGCTAATTCCAGGATGTGCCTCCCAGTCTCCTTGCGGTAACAGGGTAACGTATCCCCGCCATGTTGTCTGCAACCTGTAGCAAAAGATTGACAGGAAACTGTAAGGACAAGAAAAAAGGAAACAAAACCGAGCGAAACAAAGAACCCTGTCTGCAGCTGAGGCAACGCCGTCATACCGGTGCCTTTGCTATTCCCCCCCCTTTCCTCTTTCCCCCGAAAAAAAACTAACAAACAAACAAATGCGTCCCAGTAGCATTGGGCGTCGTTCTAACAGCCCTTGATAAAAGAACCCCCTTTCGCATAATTCAGAATTGTACCAAACCCTCTCCCCTGCCCCCCCTCACCACCTATCCCCAACCCGTTCGAATCACTCAGCACCGATGCACTCTCTATGCCATACCCCAACCATTCCAATCACACACCACCTATCCGACCCATAGCAAAATCTTTCCCTTGTCACCCCCTTTTTCCCTGCCAGCCTTTTTCCCCTTCCGCTCCCCTTCCCCTCCCTTCCTCCTCCTCCTCCTTCCCCCTCTCTCCCCCCCCCCCCTTTCCCCTCAGAACCCCTGATGTGATCCTCCCCCCCCCTCCAACTCACCTTCTCTCCCTTCCCCTCCTCCCCATCCCTCCCCCTCCCACCTCCCCTCCCTTCACTCCCTCCCTCCCTTCCTCTACAGTCAATCGGCGCCACAATCCCAGCCTTCACCGCCCTATTTGTCAGAACCTTTTCCCTTCTTTCCCTCCCTCATCTCCATGCAATCGGTGCCACAACCCCAGCCTTCACGGCCCTATTTGACGTCATCATCACCTTTCGCACCGAAGCAGCCACCACCTACCTCAACCATTCCAAACCCCTTTCCCCTCTCTCTCCGTCTTTTCTTCCTCACTCTCCTTCTTTCCAGGCGATTGGAGCCACAACCCCGGCCTTCACCGCCCTATTCGTCGTCATCATCACCTTTCGCACCGAAGCAGCCACCACCTATCTCACGCTCGTTCCAGTCGTTCTAGGCATAGTCATAGCCAGCAACTCGGAACCTTCCTTCCACCTTCTCGGCGTGATCATGTGCTTCTCGTCAACCGCTGCTCGCGCGCTCAAATCCGTTGTACAGGGGCTGCTTCTAACGAGTGACAGTGAGAAGCTACACTCCATGAACCTGCTCCTGTATATGTCGCCACTCGCGGTGGTGATGCTGCTTCCAGCGAGTCTGTTTATAGAGGGGAATGTGCTGGCGGTGGTGGTGGCGAAAGCAAGGGACTCTCCTTGGATTCTGGTTTACCTGTTGGCGAATGCTGCATTCGCCTACTTCACGAATTTGACGAATTTTCTGGTTACCAAGCACACCAGCGCACTAACCCTTCAGGTGAGAGTGGGGAAGGGAGGGGGGAGGAAGGAGGGAGAGGGGAGTAGGTGGATGTTGAAACCTGGTGGCGAACGCTGTGCTTGCCTATCTCACGAAATTGACGAATTTTCTGGTTACCAAGCACACCAGCGCGCTTACCCTTCAGGTGAGAGGGGAAAAGGGAGAGAAGGGGGGGCAGGGGGAAGAAGGGGGATATTGAACCCTGGTGGTGAATGCTGCATTCGCGTACTTTTGACGAATTTTCTGGTTACCAAGCACACCAGCGCGCTTACCCTTCAGGTGAGAGGGGGAAAGGGAGAAATTGTGACAGTAAAGGGCGAGTTGTGCCAAAGAAAGGGTTAACGACAATGAAAAAAATCAAGAATTCTGTCAAGGTTTTGTGGTTGGGATTTATTTTGAAAGGGGAGTTCTGTTTTATGCAAAAGCTGGGGTTGGGGGTTTATGCAAAGAATGGTTCTGGGGTTTGGGCGGAGGAAAGGGCGGTATTAAGCTGGACGAGCGGGGGATTGGAAAGGATAAGGGTTCTTTGGGGGGTCATGACATGGTGCAGTTTATGACTGTATGTGACAGGTTGTGATAGCATGTGACAGGCTGTGACAGTATGTGACAGGTTGTGACAGTTTGACACAGCTTGTGACAGTAACGCACCGTGACAGTATGGCCATTGTCCAAGTGTAACAGTGTGTGGCAGTGTATGTGACAGCTGTGACAGTACAGCATAGTATGTGAGTGTACGTGACTGCAGTATGTGCATGCGTGACAGTTTATGACTGTATGTAACATTGGGGATTGAATGTTGGGGGTGGGATGTTGGCGATCGGATGGGATAAGATTAGATGGGTTGGGATGGAATGGGATGGGATGGGATGGGATGGGATGGGATGGGATGGGATGGATAGGCCCAGGAAATTGCGTTTGGTTATGGGGAACTTGGGACGGTTATTTGCCATGGGGAACTGGGTGAGGGGAATTTACCCTGACAATTCCCAGGTATTGGGCACTACCAAGCGAGATTTTGCCACAATAAAACAAATGTTTCTTTATCTGTATCATTGTTTTCAAGAGCCTTATCTGAGTTTGATTTCTCTCCCTCCCCTCTGTCTTGCTCTCTCGTTCCCTGTAGGTCTTAGGCAATGCCAAGGGAGTGGTTGCGGCAATCATATCAGTCTTGGTGTTCCGTAACCGGGTAACGGTTATGGGCATGGTGGGATTCGGCATCACTATTTGTGGAGTGGTGCTCTACAGTGAAGCAAAGAAGCGATCGAAACACTGACGCAGGTGAGCTTATTGCATATGAAGTGTAATCATCTTATGAGCATGGTGGGATCCGGTTATTATTGTTACGGTATTCCATGCCTGTGTAAGCCCACTGCTGCCCATGTTCGTCCCTCTTCAGCACCTAGCTCCCTTTTCCTTCATTTGTCAAACGAAGGATATCCAAACTAAAGCAGAAAGCATACTTTTATTGTGTAATCATCGCCTTTTCAACGTTCATTTGGGTCCAGGTTGCGAGATCCATGAAGGAGGTGGCTGCCTAGAAGGACCTACTTCAATTGGTGGTGCTCTGCCGAAGTTCCTGGGCATGGTTTTTCGAAGTTGTTTGGTACAGGCTCTGTGGCGAGCACCCAAGTTCAAGTAGTGTTATATGTTCACTATTTGCATTGCTTCTGCCAGATGTGATATTTTTCTACTCGAGCATTGTGCTAAATAGGAAGCGATGCAGAAAATCTACGTTGTGTAGGAAATTGATAGTGCAGGTTTTGCACTTAGGGCAATGTTGTCAATGAAACCATCAATGAAACAACACTTCCGATTTTAACATGGTATCACCTAGGTTAGGATCCTGTAGGATCCCGTTCCTCCCGACCTCGTTCGTATCGCCCGAGCCTGTCTCCCTCTCTCGTATTACTTACGCACGTCTTGCCCGAGCCTAGCGCCGGCCCGCTCTCGTCCCGTTCCTTCGTTACCGCCCGTTCCGCCGATCCCCTACTCGAGTAGCGTAGCGACCTTCCTCCCCCCTGCTGGCCCGTCGCGTTTTCCCCCCTCCGAGGCCCGTCGAGTCGCGTTTTTTTTTTTCCCCCCCGCTGCCCGTCGAGTCGCGTTTTTCCCCCCGCTGCCCGTCGAGTCGCGTTTCCCCCCCTGCTGCCCGTCGAATCGAGCTCTCCCCGCCCGTCGTCCCGTCGCCCGTCCCCCCCTTACGCGCGCCACCGCTGCGCCTTCCCCCGTCGCCCGCCGCAGCCTGCGCCCGTCGCCGCGGCGCCCGCCTTCGCTGCTCGTCGCGTCGCGCGCGCGACTGCCCTTAGCCCCCGCGCGGCTCCCCCTTAACGCCCGCCCCCCGCGCCCGCGCGGCTGCCCTTAGCCCCCGCGCGGCTGCCCCTTAACGCCCGCCCCAGCGCCCGCGCGGCTGCCCTTAGCCCCCGTGCGGATGCCCCTTAACGCCCCCCCGTTTAGCTGCGCCTCTGCCTCGTTTAGGGTTTCCCGCTTCGCCCTTTGCCCGCCCGATTTTCGCCACGCCATCTCGTTTAGGGTTTCCTGCCTCCGCTTTTCCGTCGGTTTTAACGATGGCGACTCCGCGTGTTCTTCGCTTCGACGCTGACGGTAGACCCCTTGACTTTTCGCTCTGGCTTCTGCGCGCTCGCCGTCAGTTAGAGAGTCAGGTCCAGTCAGGCGAGACCCTCTGGGCGCACGCTGCTGGTGCCCTCCCTGCGCCCCCCGACCCTACGCCTTTAGGTCCTGCCCCTGACGACGCCGCTAGAGCTCGCTTCGCTAGCCAGCGCGCTGACCTGACAGCTTGGACGTCGCGTGACGCTGCGGCCTGCATCGCGCTCAGCACCCTTCTCCCTGAGTCTGAGGAGGCTCACTTTGCTCAGGTTCGCACTGCTGCTGAGTACCTGACTGCGATTAAGGCCCGCTACTCCACTCCTGCTGCTGTCTCTCTTGGCCGCCTTTTCCTCCCGTTCCTATTCTCTGATCTCGCCTCATTTGAGCGCTCTGCTGACTTGATTGCTCACCTCCGCTCGCTCGACTCTAGTTACCGCGCTGCTTGCACTGAGGCCCAGCTCGCACTGCTTCCTCCTCCCATGGCGATTACTATCTATTTTATCGCCACCAGCCTCCCCGACCGCCTTGCCTCCGTTCGTGACGCGCTTCTCCTGAAGCACCCTAGCGAGCTCACTATTGACGTCCTTGAGTCTGCTCTCAAGGACGTCGAGAGCAACCTCCGCTCCGTCGCCGCTGCCTCTGGTGCTGTGCCCCCTCCGCTCTTCCACGGGTGCACAGTTCCGCAGTTGCCCACCTTTACTGCCTCTCTCGCCACTGCCGCTACTGACGCGACCGCAGCTGCTGTTACGACTTCGTCGCGGTCCCGCGGTAGGGGTGGCAAGAGGGGCGGTGCTGGCGGCGGCGTTGGTGGAGGCGGAGGTAGTGGGGGTGGCGTTGCGACTGGCGGTGGTGGGAGTGCAGGGCCTGGAGAGACGTCTCGTGCAGCGACCGGTGACTCCACTGCGACTGCTGGTGGTGGCGACGCCCGCGTTCGTCAGTCGCCCCCTGTACTGCCAGCCCCGGTGGGTGGAGCAGCGGCGTGGTACCGGGCCCAGCGTCAGCAGCAGCTTCAGCAGCAGCAGCAGCCCCTCTCCTCCCAGCAGCCTCCGCAGCAGCAGCGGCCGCAGCTGGCTTCGGGGTCGGGGCCGCGTCAGCCGCAGCGTGGTGCTGTTTACCCTCCCTGCGCCTATCAGGTTCTGACAGGTGCTCGCCGGGGCCACCCTTGTGGCCGCCTTCACCCCCCTGGTCAGTGTTTTGCTCAGCTCACTGACACGGTTCGTTTGGTTTACGGGGTTGGCGGTCCTGCCCCTGACTGGTTTCCCCTTGTTCAGCGTTACGGTTCCGCTCTGTGGGACATGTCTGCTGAGCAGTTAGCTGATCTGATTGGAACTCCTCATGCTATGTATGCTGTTGTTGACTCTAGTGTTTCTGACTCTGTTTACTCTGGTGTTGTTAGCTTAGGTACTAGCCTTGCTCAGTTGCCTGTTGCTAGTGTAGGTTCTTGTGTAGACACTAGTCCAGCGGCTACCTCGGAGGACACTTCACTGTCTTTCACGCTGGACTCTGGAGCCTCGCACTGCTTCTTTCGTGACAGCACGACACTTACGCCACTTCCTGCGCCTGTCTCTGTGGCACTGGCTGATCCCACCTCGGGACCAGTCACTGCGCGTCACACTACCACTTTGCCGTGTCCTGCTGCTCCCTCCGGGTCCCTCACTGGGTTTCATGTCCCCTCGTTCTCCCGGAACTTGGTGGGTGTGCGACCCCTCGTGAGTCAGCACGTGGGTGTGTGGTTTGAGCCTTCTGGGGAGACTGCGGTGTGTGTTGACGGTGACTCTTACCAGCCTCTGGCCACCTTTGCTGCTGAGCCGGGTTCCGGTCTCTACACTCTTCACACTGGCCCGCGCGCACGGCAGCGGACGCAGCAGCAGCAGCAGCAGCAGCAGCAGCAGCAGCAGCAGCAGCAGCAGCAGCAGCAGCAGCAGCAGCAGCAGCAGCAGCAGCGGCAGCAGCAGCAGCAGCAGCCGCAGCGGCCGCCGTCGCAGCAGCCCCTACTCCCAGTTCCTGTCCCTCCCCCTAGTCTCCTCCCTTCGTCTCGCCAGGTGGTTCCGTCCCCTCAGGTTGTCGCGTCCAGTCCAGTCGCTGCGTCTTGCTCCTGTCGGTCGCTTGCCCACCCCACCGTTCTGTGGCACCACCGGATGGGACACCCTTCTCTTCCACGTCTGCGTGCTATGTCTAGTCAGCGTCTGGTCTTAGGTCTCCCGCGTGTCTTGCCGTCGCTGCCGCCGTCCCTTGCACCACCGTGCGGTCCTTGCGTCGAGGGTCGGCTGCGCGCCACCCCTCACTCCTCCTCCCTTCGTCCGGCCACCGAGCCGTTTGAGACGCTTCACCTGGACGTCTGGGGCCCCGCCTCTCGCCTTGGCCCTGAGCGTGAGCGTTTCTTTCTGGTGGTTGTTGACGACTACTCCCGCTACACCACGGTGTTCCCCCTGGCGAAGAAGTCTGAGGTGACTTCTACGCTGATCAGGTGGTTGCTCACCACCGCGGACACTCGTGGTCGTCGTGTCAGCTGTCTTCACTCCGACCGCGGGGGTGAGTTTCGCTCCGGCATTCTCGCTGGATTCTGTCGCGAGCAGGGCATTCGTCAGTCCTGGACGCTTCCAGAGTCCCCGCAGCAGAATGGGGTTGCTGAGCGCCGCATAGGCTTGGTCATGGAGATCGCCCGCACCTCCCTGACTCACGCCCGTGCCCCCCATTTTCTGTGGCCTTACGCGGTTCGGTACGCCGCGCACCAGCTGAACCTCTGGCCACGCGTCTCTCGGCCAGAGGCTTCACCGACCAGTCTTTGGACCGAGTCCTCTGGTGTTGCGTCGAGGTTTCGTGTCTGGGGTTGCTTGGCTCTTGTCCGCGACACCTCTGCGGACAAGCTCTCGCCTCGCGCCGTCCCCTGTGTCTTCCTTGGTTTCCCTGAGGACTCCTCTGACTTTACCTTTTACCACCCTCCCTCTCACCGGTTCTTTGACTCCCGTGACGTCCGTTTCGAGGAGTCCACCCCGTACTACGTCAGGTACCCCAGTCGAGGTCTCCCGGTTCCTCCTCCCCCCCTCTTCCTGACTGCCGCTCCCCCTCCTGCTCCCCCGGTACAGCCTCCCCCCCCTGGTCCAGCCCCGTCAGGTGTGTCCCAGGCTACCCCTCCTCCTTCGGTAGCCCCTCCGGTACAGCCTCCCTCCCCACAGTCCTCCTCGCAGCGTGTCGCAGGTGCTAGCTCTCGAGAGGTTGGTGCCGAGCCTGTTCCTGTACCGGTTTCTGGTTCTGGGGGTGCTGGAGTTGGAGCTGAGCCGGTGGGTGCAGAGGACTCTTGTCTTCCGGGAGCTGGTGCTGGTCGCGCGGACACTGGAGGTGCTCCGTCTTGGGGTGAGGGTGCGCCTCCTTCAGGTTCTGGTGAGCCTGGGTCTGGAGCTGGTGTTAGTGCTGCCTCTGGGGGTGGTGTGCCTGGTCCTTCGGGGGTGGACTCTGGAGCTGCCGCTGCTCCGGACACTACTCCGCCCCCCCACCCCTACCCGACTAGGCACCAGGCTCGTGTTCGCCGTGCCCGTGAGGAGCAGCTGGCGTTGGAGAGAGAGGAGAGGGAGTTACAGCGGCTGGAGGAGCAGCAGCAGCAGCAGCTGGAGCCGCAGGAGCAGCAGCAGCAGCAGCAGCAGTCCCAGCAGCAGCCGCAGCAGCAGCAGCACCAGCAGCAGCAGCAGCAGCAGCAGCCACTTCCTCCTCCTGTCTCGGGCCTTCGGACCCTTGGTCTCCCCTCTCCTTCTCCTCCCTCCCCCGCCTCTCCTCCTGTCTCCGGTCCCACGTTTCCTCCTCCTGACTCCTCCCCCGCTGTTTTCCCCAGTTCTCCGCCTTTGTCCTCTCCTCCTCCGTCTCGTACTTGGGCTACTCGTCGCTCTCCTCGTGCTCGTCCCTCGTCCCCTGTTCCTTTCACTGACCTTCGTACTGTCTTGTTCCGTTCTAGTCCGTCTCGTTCGGCTCCTCCTGTGCTTCCTTCTCCTCCTGAGTCGGCCCTCACAGCTTCTCTCTCTACCCCTGTCACTGACTACTACCGCACGTACCGTCCTGTTCTCTCTCGTGTTCTCGCCTCTCTTGTTACCCACCCTCGTGCCTCTTTGTCCTCTGTCTCTGCTCTTACTGCCGCGGTCACTGAGTTTTCCTCTACTCGCCGCCTTGACTACGCCACCACTCTTGTGGCTGCTCCTCCTACCAGTCCTCTGGCCGTCGGGGGTGTGTCTGCCCTTGGCTGTGACGTCCTAGAGGACAGGCAGTTTGAGCTAGAGTTCCTGGCAGCCGCTTCCCCTCATCTCTGTGCCATGCTCCTCACCCCTGAGGGTGACCCCGACGCCCTTGACATTCCCACTCCTCGCACTTACGCTGAGGCAGTGTCAGGGCCTTGGGCCTCTCAGTGGAGAGCTGCCATGGACGCAGAGATGGCCTCCTACAGATCCACAGGCACCTACGTCGATGAGGTTCCCCCCCCTGGGACGAACGTAGTCGATGGCATGTGGATCTACAGGGTGAAGCGGCCACCAGGATCTCCTCCAGTCTTCAAGGCGCGCTACGTTGCTAGAGGTTTCAGTCAGCGCGAGGGAGTTGACTTCTTTCAGACCTTCGCGCCGACCCCGAAGATGACCACTCTTCGGGTGTTACTGCACGTAGCAGCACAGAGAGACTACGAGTTACACTCTCTCGACTTCTCCACTGCTTTTCTTCAGGGCAGCCTACACGAGGAGGTCTGGCTGCGTCGTCCCTCTGCCTTCACTGGCACTTTCCCTCCTGGGACCCAGTGGAGGCTGAGGCGACCTGTCTACGGTCTTCGCCAGGCACCTCGTGAGTGGCACGACACTCTTCGCTCTACCCTCTCTGACCTTGGGTTCCAGCCGTCTTCTGCCGACCCGTCGCTGTTCGTTCGCCGTGGCTCCACACCGTTCTTCGTTCTGGTTTACGTCGACGACCTAGTTTTTGCCACTGCTGACAGGGTTGCTTTGGCAGACGTGAAGTCCGAACTGCAGAAGAGACACACGTGCACTGACCTTGGTGAGCTGCGCCATTACCTTGGGCTGCAGATCACCAGGGACAGAGCTGCTCGCACCATTACACTCTCACAGTCACACATGGTGCAGCAGGTCCTTCAGCGGTTCGAGCTTCAGCACTCCACAGTACAGCGCACACCTCTTGCTGTTGACCACAGACTCACTGGCCCCTTTCCTGACGAGCCGTTTGAGCCTAGTGGTCCCTACGCAGAGCTTGTGGGTTGCCTCATGTACCTGATGACGTGTACTCGCCCGGACCTCGCTTTCCCTCTCAGCATCCTTGCGCGCTTTGTTGCGCCAGGGAGACACCGTCCTGTTCACTGGACAGCAGCTGTGAGGGTGGCGAAGTACCTAGCGACGACATCAGGCGTGGGGCTAGTACTTGGAGGGCAGCAGTCTGTTGTACTTACTGGTCACTGTGACTCTTCTTACGCTGACGACGCTGAGACTCACAGGTCTACTCAGGGGTACTGTTTCAGTCTGGGTTCTGGAGCTGTTTCCTGGCGGTCCACGCGCTCCTCTTCGGTCTCGACCTCTACAGCTGAGGCTGAGATCTACGCTGGTGCCATGGCGGCACAGGAGCTGCGTTGGTTGACGTTCTTGCTCGCCGACCTGGGTGAGCGGCCGAGCTCTGCACCGACCTTGTTCACTGACAACAAGGCATCCATTCTCCTTTGTCGAGAGCCGCGACTGGAGAGCAGAGTGAAGCACATTAACGTCAGGTACTTCCTTCTGCGAGAGTTGCAGAGGCGTGGACAGGCTCGCTTCGAGTTTGTGGAGTCTGAGGCCAACACTGCAGACATCTTTACCAAGGCGCTTCCGCCTTGTGACCACCACAGGTGTTGTGTGCAGTTAGGCCTTGTTGACACTGGTTTTCGGCTTACTTAGTCTTGAGTTCACTGCTTGCTTTGCTTGTACCCTTTCTATATATCTCTGTTATTGTTTGGACTGGCCTTGTGGCCATTGTTGCTTGTGCTCAGAGTTTGTGGTGACGTTGTGATCCACCCTGAGCTTTGTTTCTTTGTGACTGGTCTTGTGACCGTACTCTTTTGGTTTTGCTAGACACCCCTCACTTAGGCTATGGGGGTGTGTCAAATGTTGGTAGCCTGTAGTGAGATGTGTCTTAGGGGGTACGTATGTTAGGGTTTGCTACTTGTACCCCAACCACCATCAATGAAACAACACTTCCGATTTTAACAAATGTACACTTCACATAAACGCCCAAGACGGAGGCCTCGCTGTATACCTCGACGATCAGCGGAAAAACCAGTCAAAACAAATGTACACCGCTATTCCTTCCCCAGCGAAAATGTTCTTTCAGAAGGTGGACCTCCAGCCTTGGGTTCTTCTGACCTCAACCTCAGGGTGTGTCAGATCCTTCGAAACCTGTTTTGGCTGGTAATTTGTCTACCATTTGGTCGTCAATTTCCTTTCGCGAACGTCGACGCATTGGTCGAATTTTTGTCGACAACTTACAGCTGTGTTTGCAAATCTGACACATTTGGAGGCCGATTTGCTGGCCGCTTATCAAATGTGTCAGATTTGTTGGCCTGATGCTGCGACGATGTTGCAGATTTCGCAGCGATATGTTGGAAACAAGAAGTCGCTAGAGCGCAGCGGAAGCTCTAGGAAGATAACGACGTCCCTACGGCGGGGCAATGGTCACTCAGAGGTAGCTCTCCTGGCTTGTAACTTGGTGCCAAAGCGGCGACCGAGGATAGGCCGGACACAAGCTTGGGAATTGTGTAATATGAGCAAGGCATTACATTCTGTTATATAGCAAACAGATAGGGCAAACAGTTACCAAGGCGCAACTGTATAACAGTTGCGCTGCGTCGCTTGGGTTGCCTTGTTACAGTCGCACTGGCGAGACTTTTCAGCTTCGGCAAGGGCGCGGTATCCTGCCGCGCCCCGCAGGTCAGTTGCGTGTACTGTTCTCGCTGCCTCCTGCAGAATCCGACTTTTCAGCTGCCACGCGGGTCGCAACCGCTGTGCTCGGTTGCGCCCCGTTGACTCGCCACCAGGTGGCGAGCCCCTGTAAGCACACTTCGAACAGTGCACTTATAATAAAAGCATACAAACATATTCTCAACACGATACACGTAGCGATGATATTAGTGGATGTTGCGTGCTGGATGGCACGTTAAGTGGCTGGCGTAAATATGTTACGTCGCAGGATTACTGTTGCATTGCCAAGTCGACATCTTGGCCGAATTCGAGTCGACTACATGTCGGATTGATGTCGACTTTTGAAACGGCCATCAAACTTACGAAAAGTGGCCGGATCATGCGAGCTCGGCGAAAATGTTTGCGACTTTCGCAACAGTGGTACTTCCGCCAAAACCGGCCAGTCGGATTAGGCCGACTTCGGATCTGACACACCCTAAAAGACGGCAATCTGTGCATGTCGTGATGGCATGCCAACTGCAGTTGATGACGTCCATACGTCTTCTTAGGGCGTATCCAACTTCGGGTCATGAGCACTGTTCTGGCTACTGTTCGGGTCATGCGCAATTTGCGCATGACCCGAAGTGGGCTGCCGAGCCGCGCGCGGCCCCAGCTTTGGGTCAATGTGCAGGTGTTGGGCGACTGACGTGCACGACCCGCCCCCAACCAATTACCTGGCTGCACGATTCTGTAGTTACTGCCATTTTTTTGCAGTCGTCAGCATATGGGCAATGTCCCACGTCTCACACCTCTGCACCCAGCCACTCGGCAAATTGACCCCAGTGACCATGAGTGTGTCTAAAATTTCCCGCGTCGCGCTCCCAACATTTGGGGAGTCACGCCGGGAATTTAGACGATTTTGTTTTTTCGGTGGGTTTCGCATGGTCTCGCTAAGGATCGTTCGAACTGTTTTGGCATCCTTCCAGTGGATGCGACTGTTGTGGGGAGCGTGATTTTGGCGCGAAAACCCTCGCGGCTCTTTGGGGGTCGCATGAGTTGGGAGGACCGAAAGTGGCGTTTTATGTTGTTTGGGTCATCCGCAAATTGCGGATACCCGAAACAGTGCTCATGACCCGAAGTTGGATACGCCCTTAGTGTGTCGTCCCCCTGTCCTCTCGTCACTCGTGTTTCCATTGGTGAGATACGAGTTTAGTCACCAGTTATATGGATATGCGATCGCAAACTCTGCCAGGTATTTCCATGTCTGGAGATTAGGACACCTGACATGCCGTGTCGGTCTGTCTTGCCGTGGCGTGACGTTCACGGAATGAGTCCACCTGTCGGAGCAAGTACACACATGGATTACCTGTTGAATGGCAACTGCCGGTCGGTAGCACCAGTCCCGTTATGCCGTAGCGTATGGTAAGCAGCCTTGCGGCTGCACAGGCAGCGAAAACAATATGTAAGGCTTTCAGTTCCTTCCCAAACTCGTACCGGTCTCCCAAGTTTTTTCCACTCGAGGTATCCTGTTGCTTCGCAATTCGTTGACAATCACTTTTGAGTCGCCAAGAATAGTCGAAAGACTTCATCAGCATCCATGGCGCCGGCTGACGAGTCTACACTGCTTATGGGCATTAAATCGGTGCCTTCCGAAGACTATTATGTCGGAGAGAAGGAACCGGAGAGCAAAGCTTCGATTCACATGGCTAATGAAGATGTCAATGTCAAAGCTGAGAAGATATCGAAAGACGCGGAGGCTTTCGAGACTGGAGTAGATTACGATGATTTGGAGTCAACGAGGGAGTGGAGCACAGGGCTTTGCTCGTGCATTCCAGGATACAACAGCGAGTACGCTCGCTCGGATTGCGAAATCTGTGAGTGTTGGTGGCTAATTTCACAGACTAGCTTTCATTTTGATCCCGTGTTCGTGGCGTGTGTAGTCCAACTTAATCCGTTCATTTATTCTTTGCGGTTTCGCGGCACGTGTCTCCCTCAGGCTGCCTGGGCTGGTTAGCGCCATGCGTGCTATATGGTAGCAACATGGTTCGCCTAAGTGGTAACCAGAGCGAGTTCTGCAACGACTGCTGCTGTTACGCATCCCTGCTTATCCTTGGGGGTGTCTTCCTCCGATGCAACGTGCTCGCGCCAATCAAATCATGGTCCAGTCGATCCGCTATTCGCACACGATTCGGCCTTCAGGTTCGTCTTGAATAACTTATCAATCGAGTTCTCAAACCACATCCTTGTATTGGGTTGCTGCATCTGTATTCCTCTTTACAGCAACACCTTTTCCCTGTTTCTGTTTCCCCGTATGCACTTGCCTCACATCCCCAATCCAGAGCGGAGCTGAAAGAGTGACAAGCGACCCATCAGACGGCTGTCATCGGTGCTGTGACTGTTTTCTGCATTTCATCTGTCACCGATGCGCTCTATGCCAGGAGGCGAGGGAGATAAGAAGGCGTCTCCCTTTGTCAGGCCCAAACAGTTCTTCTGGGTCTGGTGTGGTTGTTGCTCCTCCCTCCATGCAAGCCATGAGTCATTGAGGGCAATGTTGTGCTTACGTACCATCTGTAATGGTTAGTACTTCAATTTGCAATCCTAAATGCTCTCATATTTGTTTTAGGCATGGTGTGGCAGAAACTGTAAATGTCTGCTGCCATTCTCTGGAATGTTAGCATGATAGACTCTGCTGTTACACATAATAAGGGTACAGTATGCGGGGCGTGTGAGATGATGAAAATCAAGGAATGGCCCTACATACACTTTAAATATTGGTTATAGGTTGGCGAAGGAATCTTGTCCAGATCAAAATCTGAATAAACTGCAGCAAAATCAATGGGTGAATGCAATGATGCATTTCCACATGGAGGCAATGCATCACTACTTTCACCATTAGATATTCGGTTTGTCAGGTAAGCAGTCTTCAATGGAATTCCAGTGTAGATTGCGGTCGGTCGATGATGAGGTGATGGCGGAGGCTTTTGACCAGTCGTTTTCGCGCTTGAACATTCGCTGGCCTGCCTTCCGAACACCTGCCCTGCCAAAATGACAGCATGCCATAGGTATTGTTTCGTATCGTAAAGCGGAGGAAAACCGTTATGCACCATGTGTAACTGTCAAGATAGTTATCAGCCAGTTTTAACCTATGTCACGTCACCCCAGTTCAACACTGATTCACAGGTTTTCCGCTTGCGCGGGATTTCCCGTCAACATTTTTCACCTTCCGCCGAGCAGGGAAGGAACGTATCGCACACGGCACGGACGGCTTGCGGGACACTTGTCAGTTCTGCAACCCGAGCCTGCTGGCATGCCGTGCAGCAACGTATGGTAGCTGCATAGGTCCGAAAGGTATATTCCCGTATAGGAGCTCTAGTTTGAGTTCATTGTCACTCGCTCTGTTCGGTAAACCTAGCATTTATTTTGCGAGCCCGGCGTCTCGCTGTCGTTAGCTTATTCTGTTGTTTTGTTTCAAGAAAGAACATCAGGAATCATTTTAACGCGGATGGCGACGACTGCTGCGTCTCCCCTTCTCGAGGATGATAGCTGCTACTATGTTGGAGAGAAGGAGCCTGGGAAGAAAGATTCCCTTACTGTGGCTGAAGTTCCTGCGTCTGAGAAACTGCCGATTCTTTCTCAAAATGAAGCGACCGAGGTTTCGGAGCCAATGAGAGAGTGGAGCACAGGGATTTTCTCCTGCGTTCCAGGCTCGGATGAGCACACGAGCTCCGACTGCGAAATTTGTAAGTCTGTCGGCAAGGGATGCTTCTACCAGATCTGGATGCTTCGTTGTTCAGCAATTTGCTGATTACGTGCCTCATGTTTTACCTTGGTACTCACTTCCAACATGTATTTCATTTCTCCGTTTTAATTTTTAAATCGTCAGGCTGTCTCGGGATGTTCGCACCGTGCGTGCTGTACGGAAGCAACATGACACGACTAACCGGCGACTCGAATGAGTTCTACGAAAGCTGCATGCGCTACACCGCCTTGTTCGTTCTTGGGAAGTGTTTGCTGCACTGCAACGCGCTCGCTCCAATCTCGTCGTGGCCCAGTCGATCCGCCATCCGCTCGCAACTCCGACTCCAGGTTAGTGCTTGACAAGATATTATCCAGGTTGTATCATCGTCATATCAGCTTCAGAACATTTTCCTGGGTCATTTTCCTGAAGCTTCTTCGTTCTCATAATTTCTTTCCGCCTCCTTGCTGCTTTGTGTGTTTTGCAGAGCGGAGCTGAAGACATCACAAGCGACCCTTCAGACGGTTGCCATCGGACCTGTGACTGCATGCTTCATTTCTTTTGCCACAGATGCGCCCTTTGCCAGGAAGCGAGGGAGATTAGGAGGTGTTTCCCTCCCGTATCAGGCCCAGGATCTGCTGCTGTTGACAGGGTGGCTGTCGTTGCTCCCAAGGTGCAAGCCATGAACCACTGACAGAATATTGTGTATACGGTAATATTGTATAGACTGCTATAGTTCTATGTGAGTGCCATTATAGAAGCAGCAACGGAGTTGTTGCCTATCCTTGTACCTTGGTTTATGCTGATTTCCCAATCTCTGGCCCCGTTGAGAGATGAGCTGCAACTGTCCTGTTGCTGTCCTGTTTATATGAAGATTTTGCTAAAGCTTCCATACTCGTTCTTCATTCTTCATTTGGTTCACACGAGGATTTAGCCAAAGCTTCCGTACTCGTTCCCATTCTTTATATGGTTTACATGAAGATTTAGCCAAAGCTTCCATACTCGTTCCCATTCTTTATATGGTTTACATGAAGATTTAGCCAAAGCTTCCATACTCGTTCCCATTCTTTATTTGGTTTACATGAAGATTTAGCCAAAGCTTCCATCCATGGACTTCTAGATCTATACTATCTTTAGGGTATGCTCTTTCTGCTGTCGGCAACTCAGGCTAAGGTCGCGTGAAAACGGTAACGAAGCATCTCACTCTCGAAAGCACGAGAGGGGAAATATGGCAAAAGGGCAACCACGACGGGAGTCGAACCCGCGACCTTTCGATCCGAAGTCGAACGCGCTAATCCACTGCGCTACGCGGTTACGAAATAATTTTAATAAAATTTATTCTTGTAAAAACAAACGTGGTTCTAGAATATTCTCCTCCACTTTCTCTTTTACCGCGTTCACCACCAATTACCTGCGTTCACCACCAATCACCTGCGTTCATCAGCGCCGAAGAATCCAGGTCCCAACTCCCGCAACCTGTACACTGACTATCACCCTTCTGCAGCGGATCTGCAAGTCCGTCAACTTCTAGAACTTCTAGTGGCTTGCACTTAATTCTGGAGTGCTAGAATCCGTGCAAGCCCACTTTCCTGATCTTTCTGTAATTCTAGGTCATTCGCGAACCCCATGGATCAACTTACGAGGCGTTTCTCACGGCGCTCTGCGTCGTCGTTTGTTAGTATTTATCCGTCGCACTCCAACACGAAATTACAACTTTCAAACGCTTTCTATCCCATCGTATTTTTCAGCCTTAGTCGCAAGACATTCTTCAGCTTCCAGATTGATCCAGGTTGAAACTATCGTAGGCCGAAACAATCTCTTGAGACTCGTTCATTCCTTGGCAGTACCAGCAGTATCAGCACAGAGTCACCACATTCAAAGCGGTACCAGCACATCACCGCGCAACTTCCAAATCTTCGGTCAATCCAGGGGACTCGATCGAAGGAATTCTGGTCTCGCGGTTAAGCGTGGTTGAGAACGGTCCGGACGAACTTGCTTCAATGGGACGCCGCGGAGGCGAGCAGATGTCATCATCTCAGCACCACTCCACGGCAGAAGCCACCGTCGTTCCTCCTCCTCCTCCGTTCCTGACTCGACTGAAAAGTCACCTGGGAGGCGGGATGTCGTCATCATTTGAAAGTAGCCTCAACGCAGATTCTGCCGTCAGTTCCCCCCATCCTCCTCCGCCTCCCCCTCCGTCTCCTCGATTTCCATCGTTCCGTCCGTCGCAGTTCGCTTTTCCGGCGAAGTTTCCTGAGCGTCCAACTGCCATGATGCCTGGCAATCTCCCGTTCCCTGCTGGTCCCGGGGGTTGGTTCATGCCTCCCTTCTCTCCCATCCCCGCGTATTCCGGCGCTTACGTCGCTGGCATTCCAAACGGTAGGGCCAAGGCTGCTGCGGATGCTGCCGCTGTTGACGCGGAGGAGTCGGGCAGCGATCCAGCTGATTCCGCTTCTACTTCTGCGTCTGTTTCGGCTGCTGCTGCGTCTTCTTCTCCGTCTGCCGCGTCAGCCTCTCATGCTGCTGCTGCTGCTGCTGCTGCTGCTTCTTCTTCTTCTGCTACCACTGCCGCTGCTTCTGCCTCTGCGTCTGCTGCTGCTTCTGCTGCTGCAGTGCCCACCGTTTCTGGTCCGGCTCACTTTCCCCCTCCGCACCTCCCCCATTTGATTCCCTTCGGTCCTCCCTACATGGGCCCCTGGACTCCTTACGCACCCTGGTTTCACCCGGCCGTGATGACGTCAGCGGTGCCGGATAACGCCCCCGAGGTGACGCAAGCAGGAGGGTTCGGAGGGCAGGCGGCGCGAGCGGCCAGGCTGGAGCTGGTGGAGGTCGGATCTCCGAAAAAGGCTGCTTCGGGCGAAGCTTCCGGGAACGAAGAGGAGGAGGTGGAGGGACGTGAGGAAGAAGTCGCAGGGAAGAAATGTGATTTCAAGGAGGATCTGAAAGGAGATTCGGCTGCACCAGCAGTTGATGTGATTCTGAAGTCCCATGGTTCGGCTGGGAACGGAACAGGAGTTGAGGAGGCAGCAGCAGCAGCCGCAGCAGCCGCAGCAGCAACTGTTGGTGGTTTAGTGTCGCCTGGGAATGGTGGTGGTGGTGGTGCGGTCTCTTATCCGTTCATGCTCCCGTATCCTCCTTATGCGGACCCCAGGGCCATCCCAGGTTTCGTGAACGGTTTTGGCGGGAATTCGCAGGGCGCATTGGGAAATGTTGCAGCTGGTTCGGCTGGTGACGATGCTTATGCACAAGCTTCCTGGTTCGGCCAGGCACCTTGGTTCGGGCAGGGGCCTTGGTTCGGCCAGGCGCCTTGGCTAGGCCAGTCGCCTTGGCTCCCTGCTTATACAGATAAGCTCCCTGCGCTTGGTTCTGGGCCTGGTTATCCCCGTTGTTGGCTTCCTCAGTACTATCCTATGCAACCCGAGGCTCTAGTTCAGTTCTCCCCGCCTCGTCCTGCAGCAGCATCCAGTGAGTTCCCAAGCCTACCGTGGAGCCTCGGGCCAAACCTGGGTGGGTATCCAGGTGCGTGGGGTGCCGAGCCTGGGTCCAGTGCATATGCAGCATTGCCTGCTCCAGCGGAAGTCGCTGCAGAGCTCTCCCTGCTTTCGGGTAATGCATCTTCACAAGGGTCTGTAGGAGCGTCTATTGAGGCACCTCAGAAGCCAATGGAAGGCGCTGCAGAGTTCCCCTTGCCTTCGGGTAATGCATCCTCACAAGGGGTTGTAGCACCTGAAGCGGTTCCTGTAGCACCTGAAGCGGTTCCTGTGGCACCTGAAGCGGTTCCTGTGGCACCTGAAGCGGTTTCTGTGGCACCTGAAGCGATTCCTGTGGCAGAAGCGGTTTCTGCTGCGCTTGAGTCACCTGCTGTGGCACCTGAGGCAATTTCTATGGCATCAGCAGAAGGAGCAGGAGCAGCAGCAGCAGCAGCAGCAGAAGTACCGACATCAGCACCAGCATCAGCAGCAGCTGAGGCAGTTTCTGTGGCATCAGCACCAACAACAGCAGCAGGAGAAGGAACAGCAACAGAGAGGCCAGCAGCAGCAGCTGAAGCAGTTTCTGCAGCACCTGAGGCAGCATCTGAAGCAGCTGCTGCAGCACCTGAGACAGCACCAGAGGTGGCACCTGCGGCTCCTGAGGAAGTTTCTGCAGCACCTGAGTCGGCAACAGTGGCACATGAGGTGGCGACTGCAGCACCTGAGGCAACACCTGAGGTGGCAACTGAGGTGGCACCAGCGGCGGATGCGGCTCCTGAGGCGGTTTCTGTGGCACCTGAGGCAGTCTCTGCAGCAACTGAGGCGGTTTCGGCGGCACCTGCGACGGCACCTGAGGGTACACCAGCGGCTCCTGAGGTGGCGCCGGTGGCACCTGTGGCACCTGACGTGATGACTGCATCACCTGAGACGGCAACTGAGATAGCACTTGCGGTACCTGAGGCAGTTTCCGCGGCCCCTGAGGCAGTTTCCGCGGCACCTGAGGCAGTTTCCGCAGCACCTGAGGCAGCTTCTGCGGCACCTGAGGCAGCTTCCGCAGCACCTGAGGCAGCTTCCGCGGCACCTGAGGCTGTGCGTGCGGCACCTGAGGCAGTTACTGCGGCACCTGAGGCAGTTACTGCGGCACCTGAGGCATTTACTATGGCACCTAAGGCGGATTCTGTGGCACCTGAGGCAGTTTCTGCGGCACCTGAGGCTATTCCTGCAGTACCTGATACGGCACCTGAGGTTACACCAGTGGCATCTGAGGCTATTTCTGCGGAACCTGAGGCTGTTTCGGAGGCACCTGAGGCGGCACCTGTTGCACCTGTGGCTGCACCTGGACCTGAGACGGCACCTGAGGTGGCGCCTATAGCACCTGAGGCGGCACCTGTGGCACCTGAAGCAGTACCTGCGGCTGCGGCACCCGAGGCACCTGCACCCGAACCACCTGTATCTGAACCATCTGCACCGGAAGCACCTGTAACCAAAGCACCTGTACCCGAAGCAGCTGCCACCATCCGAACCACCAGCTCCGAGCCTCCTGAGCTGCCGAGGCAACTGGACGACCCAACCACTGGAACAGTCGCTGCCACCCGTATCCAATCCGCATGGAGAGGCCACTCCCTCCGCCTTACCAAGCCTCTTGAAGCGGCTCGGACCATAGCTGAGGTTCGGCGGCTGGCTCGGGAGATGGCGGAGAGGCTCGGCGAGGAGGGGTATGCGATCAAGGTGGCGTCCGAACCAAAGGAGAAGCTTCGGGTGAGTGAGACGATCATGAGCTGGCTGCTTCGGTTGGATGCACTGCTGTCGCCGAACCAGGAGGTCCGGGAGCTGAGACGGGGAGCAGTTCGGGAGCTGACAAAGCTGCAGGATCGGGTAGATTCTCTGAAGCCCACTGCTTTGCCTACCGAACCTGTTGCTGGCCCTGCCAAACCTCATGTGGGAAAAGCTGCCGAACCTACCCCACCCACCTCCGTGTCTTGCCAGTCCTCCGCCGTTCCAGTCCCCGCTGCTGCACCGGAGCAGCCGTTACAGAAGAAGCAGCAGCAGGAGAAAGAGCAGCCGTCGTTGCCGCAGCAGCAGCAAATTCCTGCAGAGGAAGACAAAGGGAAGGAAACAGCAGTTGCAAAGGCGAGCGGAACAGCAGCTGCCAAGACAGCAGGAGCGGCCAATACAACAGCTAAAACAGTGGGCAAGTCACAGAACAAGCCAGGTGGTTCGCTTCCATTTAGGAAAGGCTTTTTGTTGAGTGAACCGGCCAAGAAGACAAAGAAGGGAGCAGGAGCAGCTGCTGGGAGCAAGAGCAGCCCCTCGTGCAGCTGTGGAAGGAGTAGCAGCAGCGATGATGTTAGCAGTGACAGCAGTGGCAGCAGCAGCAGTGGTGGTGAGCATTCGGAGGGGAAAAGCGGTGAGAAAGCAGTGACTCCTGGGGATGTGAGGAAGGTTGATGTGCAGTTCGGTGGGTGTGGGAGTGAGGGTCCTGAGGCGGTGAGAGTCGTGTTCTGCAGCAGTGAGGAGAAGGGGAGAGCTACGAAAGAGGTGAGGGAGGGGGAGAAGAATGAGGAGAGGGAGAAGGGGAGTGAGGGGCCTGAGGAGGTGAAAGTGGTTTTCTGCAGCAGCGGGGAGAACGGGGGAGTGGAGAAGGAGAGGGAGAAGGAGAGGAAGGAAGAGGGGAAGGAGGAGGGGAAGGAGGGAAAGAAAGAGGATGGTAGGAAGGAGGAGAGGAGAGAGGAGGATAAGAAGGGGGAGGAGCAAGGTTACGAGGACAGGAGGGGGGAGGCAAGCTGTAGTGGGGATGTGAGGAAGGTTGACGTGCAGTTCTGTGGGCGTGGGAGTGAGGGGCCTGAGGCGGTGAAGGTTGTGTTCTGCAGCAGTGGAGGGCTCAGCAGTGGAGGGCCCAGCAGTGGAGGGCTCAGCAGGGAGGGCGGGACAGGCGGGTCAGGCGGGTCAGGAGGGGCAGGAGGGGCAGGAGGGGCAGGAGGGGCAGGAGGGGCAGGAGGGGCAGCGGGAGGGGGTAATGTTCATGGTTCAGGGGTGTTTGGTGTGTGCGAGGCGAAGTTGAGGAGTGGGAAAGAGGGTGAGATGAAGCAAGTGGAGAAGGGGAAGCAGAAGAGGAAGGAGGAGAGGAAGGAGGAGAGGAAGGAGGAGAGGAAGGAGGAGAGGAAGGAGAGGGTTCAGACAGCGGGGAAAATTGCTGAGGGGAGGAAACAGGTTGACGAGGGAGAACAGAAGAGAAGCAAGGGGAAGGAGAGTGAAGAGGGACGGAGGAGTGAGGAAGATGCCAAGAAAGGGATTTCAGAAATGGAGTCCACGAAATCGCCAATCTTTCTCCACTATCTGCCGCATCTGCTGCCTCTTGGAACCCCTCTCCACCACACGCCGCATCCCCACAATGCTCCTGCACCCATCTCCACCCCTGTCTACCTCCACCTTCCCTCAGCAACCCCACTCGCCCATGAGACCTCCTCTGTTGCCCCATTCAGTCACTCCTCCTTCAAGCCCTCACCTTACAGTCACATGGCACTGCCCAAGGGGGGTGCACCTGGACTATCCGAGTTTTCACCTGAGGAAATTGCCTGGCAGATGGAGGCTCTGAGGCAGGAGAACGCCCAGCTGCGTCGGCTACTATTCGAGCGGGAGCAGCGGCAGCAGCAGCAGCAGCAGAAGCAGAAGCAGGAGGAGCAGCGGAAACAAGCAGCAGAGATGGCTGGTCTATTTGGTGGCAGAACAGTACCTGCAGTGAACTGTGGAGGAGTAGCAGCAGCTGGGGGGTTTGAGGAGAGGCTGGAGTGCTTAGAGAGGGAGATGGCTAGGATGAAGGCTTCGCGTGATTGTGATTGTAATGGGGGATGGGGTGGGTGTAGGAGCCGGTGGGGTGTTTACTAGAAGGTCTCTAGATGGTCATTGGAAGGGATTGTTACACCCTTCTGGATTGGCTTGTGGCTGAATAAGCATTGTGGCGCTTTCTGTTCCGTCTCTTTTCCTTTGTCCTTGAATTTGTGAATTTTAGTTTGTGCACTCTTGTTTTTCCAATGTCAATCTACCCTCAATCATAGATGGGAAAATACTCATTGTGCCACTAATCGGAAGTGGTAGCTTGTGTGCATACAGTACCAAACTTAATCTTGAACATACTGAAGCCACATTCCTACCGGTAACATGTATTCATGACCCGCCAGCCTCCATTTCTGCCCAAACCCCTTCAACTTCACTTGAGTAATGAGTTGTTATGACTACCTAAAACGGCCAAAGATCGTGCAAGTTTTCAGGTCCTGGAATTCATTCCAGGGCTTGCACTCCAGGAAGCAGCAGTGAACTGCCAGGGGCAGCGAAGATGGTGTAGTGCTGCCAGGGCAGGTGGTGTAGTGTTGCCAAGGGCAGGTAGTGGAGTGCTGCCAAGGGCAGGTAGTGGAGTGCTGCCAAGGGCAGGTAGTGGAGTGCTGCCAAGGGCAGGTAGTGGAGTGCTGCCAAGGGCAGGTGGTATAGTGCTGCTGCACAGCAGACGAGAGGGAATGAGAGTGCGGCCGTGAGCAGGCAACGACTTAGGTACCACCAGTGACAGCCTGAGCAGCTGAGCTCATAACTGCTGCTTTCGTGCTGCATAGTGGATGAAAGAATGGGGAGGCAGAGAGAGAGGGAGGAAGGGAGGGATAAGTTTCAGGGCTCCAAAAAATGAGAGATGAGGGAACGAGGGGGTGAAATTGGTGTGTGTTGCCTCCCTTCCCCTCCACAATCCATTCCCTTGTGCTGCCAGTCCTGTCCTGCCCTGGCACCGCTTCCAACCTCTTCTTCCTCCTTTCCTGACTACAAGGTCTAGCAGCTGACTGGGAGATGTATTTCAATGATTGCTATCATTACACAGAAAAACGCAACATGACTGTAACGAGAATGACCTGTATCATTACAAAGGAAAATGCACCGCTGTGACGAATAGCAAATTCTTACAGGTTGTATGTAGATAATTATGTATTCAGCGCCTCATACAATCCATGACTCTTGTGCTGAACTTGATATAGAGATTTCCAGGACTGATCTCACAGCCTCACTACTGACCGCTGTGAGGCTTCTCAAAACTCATTTGTGCTGTACTTGATACACAGATTTCCACAACTGATCTCACAGCCTCATTACTGACCTGATTCCATGATGTCATTGCTCATGCCATGAAGCAATCTCCGAAGTTTGTATTTTTTTGGAACCATATGATTGGATTTGATATCACCGGCGATACAGCCCAAAGATGTGTCCCTGTAGCAATCCAGCACACAGGAGGCCCGAGAAGGGGAAGAGAAATGTGGAGAAACAAGAAGCATGGATAATGGCAATATGCAGATAAGAGGTTTTCAATGGGAGGTTTATATTGTGAGTTGCCCTGATACCTCCTGGACTAATAAGTCGCAACTGTTTAGCGAAACTGGGTAGCGCTTCTGCATAAATGAAATGTTAGTACTATTTGTACTCACGTTATGGCAGATTGTAACTCTGGCAAGAATACACTCCAGTGTATTGCATACGTTACTATCCAGCACAGGCTGAGCATCCCATATCTGTAAGCCAGGTGTGGGGAGGAGATCAGGGGGAAAGGGGGGGGGAAAGGGGGAAAGGGGGAAAAGGGGGAAACGGGGGACAACGGGGAGACAGGGTTGGGGAAGACGGGGGAGCCATGTATGTGGGAGGGGTGGGTGCGATAATGAAATATGGGGCTGTTCTTATATTGTAAAGCCCATACGGCAAGGAATTCTAATACATTGCGCTTTAGATTAGACTGCTTTAGGGATCATAAATGCTCAATATGAATTCGGCAGTGTATGCTTTTATAACACAATGGTTTCTACAAGCAATGGTCACTGTAGATACCTGGGCCGGGCAGAACGGGCAAGTATCGCCCTCCAGAGGCTCTGAGCTGTTTTCCAACACGGAATGCACACTGGTTATTGGGGGAATGGTGGCAAAGGGACAGGCAGGCATATTGGCAGGGGGTGCAGGGGGCATTGCGCATTTGAGGTGACTCAGGGGGTGCAAGGGGCAGTGAGCATTTGAGGTGACTCAGAAAAGGCACATATCGTCCTCCAGAAGCTCCGAGCTGTTTCCAACACGGATCTGAGACTGGTGTCAGGGAGCATGTCCGCAGGGGGCGAGTGGGCACAGGAGGGCAGGGGGCACAGGAGGGCATGGGGCGCAGGAGGGCATGGGGCGCAGGAGGGCATGGGGCGCAGGAGGGCATGGGGCGCAGGAGGGCAGGGGGCATTGAGGAGGGTTCTTTGTGTCGACAAACAGAGGCTCTGAGCTATTTCTCAACGCGGAACGAGTCGAGTTTTGAGTCGACTCAAAACTCGACTCATTACGGGCAGGGGAGTATGGAGCATGTAGAAAGGAGAGTGAGACAGAGGCTCTGAGCTATTTCTCAACGCGGAACGAGTCGAGTTTTGAGTCGACTCAAAACTCGACTCATTACGGGCAGGGGAGTATGGAGCATGTAGAAAGGAGAGTGAGACAGAGGCTCTGAGCTATTTCTCAACGCGGAACGAGTCGAGTTTTGAGTCGACTCAAAACTCGACTCATTACGGGCAGGGGAGTATGGAGCATGTAGAAAGGAGAGTGAGACAGAGGCTCTGAGCTATTTCTCAACGCGGAACGAGTCGAGTTTTGAGTCGACTCAAAACTCGACTCATTACGGGCAGGGGAGTATGGAGCATGTAGAAAGGAGAGTGAGACAGAGGCTCTGAGCTATTTCTCAACGCGGAACGAGTCGAGTTTTGAGTCGACTCAAAACTCGACTCATTACGGGCAGGGGAGTATGGAGCATGTAGAAAGGAGAGTGAGACAGAGGCTCTGAGCTATTTCTCAACGCGGAACGAGTCGAGTTTTGAGTCGACTCAAAACTCGACTCATTACGGGCAGGGGAGTATGGAGCATGTAGAAAGGAGAGTGAGACAGAGGCTCTGAGCTATTTCTCAACGCGGAACGAGTCGAGTTTTGAGTCGACTCAAAACTCGACTCATTACGGGCAGGGGAGTATGGAGCATGTAGAAAGGAGAGTGAGACAGAGGCTCTGAGCTATTTCTCAACGCGGAACGAGTCGAGTTTTGAGTCGACTCAAAACTCGACTCATTACGGGCAGGGGAGTATGGAGCATGTAGAAAGGAGAGTGAGACAGAGGCTCTGAGCTATTTCTCAACGCGGAACGAGTCGAGTTTTGAGTCGACTCAAAACTCGACTCATTACGGGCAGGGGAGTATGGAGCATGTAGAAAGGAGAGTGAGACAGAGGCTCTGAGCTATTTCTCAACGCGGAACGAGTCGAGTTTTGAGTCGACTCAAAACTCGACTCATTACGGGCAGGGGAGTATGGAGCATGTAGAAAGGAGAGTGAGACAGAGGCTCTGAGCTATTTCTCAACGCGGAACGAGTCGAGTTTTGAGTCGACTCAAAACTCGACTCATTACGGGCAGGGGAGTATGGAGCATGTAGAAAGGAGAGTGAGACAGAGGCTCTGAGCTATTTCTCAACGCGGAACGAGTCGAGTTTTGAGTCGACTCAAAACTCGACTCATTACGGGCAGGGGAGTATGGAGCATGTAGAAAGGAGAGTGAGACAGAGGCTCTGAGCTATTTCTCAACGCGGAACGAGTCGAGTTTTGAGTCGACTCAAAACTCGACTCATTACGGGCAGGGGAGTATGGAGCATGTAGAAAGGAGAGTGAGACAGAGGCTCTGAGCTATTTCTCAACGCGGAACGAGTCTAGTTTTGAGTCGACTCAAAACTCGACTCATTACGGGCAGGGGAGTATGGAGCATGTAGAAAGGAGAGTGAGACAGAGGCTCTGAGCTATTTCTCAACGCGGAACGAGTCGAGTTTTGAGTCGACTCAAAACTCGACTCATTACGGGCAGGGGAGTATGGAGCATGTAGAAAGGAGAGTGAGACAGAGGCTCTGAGCTATTTCTCAACGCGGAACGAGTCGAGTTTTGAGTCGACTCAAAACTCGACTCATTACGGGCAGGGGAGTATGGAGCATGTAGAAAGGAGAGTGAGACAGAGGCTCTGAGCTATTTCTCAACGCGGAACGAGTCGAGTTTTGAGTCGACTCAAAACTCGACTCATTACGGGCAGGGGAGTATGGAGCATGTAGAAAGGAGAGTGAGACAGAGGCTCTGAGCTATTTCTCAACGCGGAACGAGTCGAGTTTTGAGTCGACTCAAAACTCGACTCATTACGGGCAGGGGAGTATGGAGCATGTAGAAAGGAGAGTGAGACAGAGGCTCTGAGCTATTTCTCAACGCGGAACGAGTCGAGTTTTGAGTCGACTCAAAACTCGACTCATTACGGGCAGGGGAGTATGGAGCATGTAGAAAGGAGAGTGAGACAGAGGCTCTGAGCTATTTCTCAACGCGGAACGAGTCGAGTTTTGAGTCGACTCAAAACTCGACTCATTACGGGCAGGGGAGTATGGAGCATGTAGAAAGGAGAGTGAGACAGAGGCTCTGAGCTATTTCTCAACGCGGAACGAGTCGAGTTTTGAGTCGACTCAAAACTCGACTCATTACGGGCAGGGGAGTATGGAGCATGTAGAAAGGAGAGTGAGACAGAGGCTCTGAGCTATTTCTCAACGCGGAACGAGTCGAGTTTTGAGTCGACTCAAAACTCGACTCATTACGGGCAGGGGAGTATGGAGCATGTAGAAAGGAGAGTGAGACAGAGGCTCTGAGCTATTTCTCAACGCGGAACGAGTCGAGTTTTGAGTCGACTCAAAACTCGACTCATTACGGGCAGGGGAGTATGGAGCATGTAGAAAGGAGAGTGAGACAGAGGCTCTGAGCTATTTCTCAACGCGGAACGAGTCGAGTTTTGAGTCGACTCAAAACTCGACTCATTACGGGCAGGGGAG